GAGCGAGACCCCATGCTCACTAAACGCCAGCAACCGAAATAATTGGCACTCAATATATATACAAAACAAACAAAACCTCGCCTGGGCCTGTCGCTCCCTCCTCCACTACACTTGCAGCTGAGGCAGGAGGACCCTTGAGCCAGAGTTTGAGTGCTGGTGCGGCCGGCTGACGCCCGGCACTGCCTCTACCGGGCAACCAAGTGAGACTCGTCTCAAACACCAAACAAAAAAAATGCCCAGGATCGCGCTCGTACGTCCGAAGAGCGTGGTGTGAGCAGCCTCTCTTTCGTTCTACTGACAAGACCATCTTCTCTATAAAAACTCCTTCTGCTTGGCAGTTTCAATAACATGGCCAGCCTGTTTGTCGAATACATGTTTCTCTAAAACCAGCCCATCGCCTCATTCATTCTACAGATCTCTAACTGGGCTCGCTTTTTCCAAGCAGCAGTTAATGCGCTTGCAACAAGACAATCGCTGATAACCCCCAAACCGTTTACCAGTTTGTGCTTTCCGACCAGACGGTATCGACCTCGATTAATAGTCATTTCCACTTAAAGAGTATTGAAATGCTCTGGAGCTTAGATTTTTAAAAATTTTAATATTTCTCTTCTATTTATTATTTGTTCTTTATCCCTTTATTTCTTCTTTCCTGCCTTGTTTTGTATTGTTTGAATATTTTTAGTGTTCTATCTTAACTATTGAGTTTTTCATTTTATCTCTTTGCATGTTTTTTTTAGTGGTTTCTCAAGAGATTACAATGCACATACTTAACATTTTGCAGTCTAATTAGAACTAATATTTTATCATTTCAAGTGCAATATAGAAACCTTACCACCACACATATCTCTTCATTTGGCCTCCTTTTTGTTGGAATAACTCTCTATTCATTTGTCTTCTTTCATTTCTCTCAGAAATGTTTTATAATGTTCAGCATAGAGATTTGGCACACTTTTTTCTTAGATTTATTCCTAGCTATTTATAGTTTTGATGCTATTATAAATGGCATTTAGAATTTTTTTCATTTTCAAATTTTTTGTTGGTACATAGAAATACAATTGATTTTCATACATTTAACCTCGTAGCATGTAACTTTGCCGAATTTATTAATTTTAATTGTGGGCTGGGCGCGGTGGCTCACACCTGTAATCCTAGCACTCTGGGAGGCCGAGGCGGGTGGATTGCTTGAGGTCAGGAGTTCAAAACCAGCCTGAGCAAGAGCGAGACCTGTCTCTACTATAAAAATAGAAAGAAATTAATTGCCAACTAAATATATAAAAAAAATTAGCGACGCATGGTGGTGCATGCCTGTAATTCCCAGCTACTCGGGAGGCTGAGGCAGGAGGATTGCTTGAGCCGGGATTGAGGTTGCTGTGAGCTAGGCTGATGCCACAGCATTCACTCTAGCCTGGGCAACAAAGTGAGACTCTGTCTCAAAAAAAAAAAAAAATTTTTTTAATTGTTATTTTATGCTATGTTTATAACCATTGTTACCTACAAATAAATATAGTTTTATTTCTTTCTGTCTAATTTTTATACCTTTCTTTTCATAAAGGAAGAAAAATTGTTTCCTTCTAGGTTCTGTGCTGGTCTAAGGATTAAATTGACATAAGACAGAGTTACAGAAGAGAAACCAATTTTCTTCTTTTCCTTTCCTTTTCTTTTCTTTTCTTTTTTTTTGAGACAGGGTCTTGCTAGAGTGCCGAGGCATCACCATAGCTCATTTCAGCCTCAAACTCCCTGGCTCAAGCGATCCTCCTGCCTCAACCTCCCAACGTGCTGGGACTACAGGTATGAGCCTCACAAAAACACCAGACCCAAGGCAGCAGCCAGATGGTTGAGACCCATCTATCATCCTGAGCAGAATGGATGCTCAGAAAGGATGGGAGCTTCAGGCTTCTGGCGTGAAGGAGGCCAATTTTGGGGAGGGCCGGGAGGGTGTGTAAGGCTGTCATCTCATGCAAATGGGAGTCTTTCAGGAGACAAAAGTCTCATAATAGCTCTCTTCCTGGCACAGATACTTTTACTAATGGAAATTTCCTTTATAAATGTAAATTTCCTTCACAAAAGGGAAATGTATACTTTATTTTAGACAGTTAAGGGGGAGATAAAGAGCTTTTCCTATGTGGGTCTCAGTTGCCTTTAGCTCAAAATAATCAATATGCTACAGTAGGAAAATATTTTGGGGTGGCATGTTCTGAACCTCTTCACTTTCTTTCTCTTTCCTTACTGCACTGCCTAGAACATCCAGTACGATGCTGAGTGGACGTGGGGACAGCAGACACCCTTTGAAGGCCTTGGGCGGGTGAGGGAGCGTCCTCTCCTGTGCTATATTAAACTCAGTGTGGTTGGGCGTGGCATGGTCTACTGGGCCCTCAGAGGGACTAAGTGTACCTTACTTATTTCTGTTGGGGCTCAGAACACAATACCCCAAAACATGCTCACTTGGCATGCAGAGTACTTATGCTAAAAGAGACTGGAAGGGCCTCAGAAGCAAGGTCCCTCTGACCTTCTCCCGCCCTCCCGTCTCCTGCCCCTCCTGCTTCCCTGGCTCCAGTCACGGAAACCAGAATCCCTCTTCCCCAAGGCAAGTCAGAGACGCTAGAACCCCGCCCCCCCAAGCAAGCCCTAAAACCTAGAAAGGTCACTCTCTCCTTTTTCCCTTGAAGTTCTTCATTCCTGAGAGGTCCTGCCCCATGCCCAGGAGGAAGGAATGCTTCGCAGAGAGGCCAAGAAGAATCTGAACAGGCAGGCCTTACCGGGTCTCCCCACTCAGTCGGTTACCATTAGATCTTACCTTGTCCAATCATACTTCTATACAGCTGTCCATTCTTCATAGAGCCCAAGCATAAGAACAGTTTTCCCTGGGTTTTGGGGTAATTTGCGAAGGCTCCCATGTCACACAAGGCTTTGATTAAATAAATTTGTTATACTTTTCTCTTGTTAACCTATCTTTTGTTGTAGGAGTGTCAACTGTGATACGTATGATGGGTGAGGGAATGTATTACATCTTTCCACCTCTACATTTCCAAAGACATCAACTTAGTGTTTTGTAGGCTCCAGGAAGGCAAGAGGTAAGATAGGTTGTGGACATTAGAAAGAGACACTTCTTTGGTCAGACCACTGAGTCCAGAGCAGACCACTCTGGACTGCTGCAGAGCTGGCCGCATCGTAGGGCTTGGTGAGTTGAGCGTGAACTGGGTTTCAACCTCAGTGTCCCCTTGGCTGGGCCTCTGTGCACAGTGCACTCACTGTACACTGTTTGGGGAGGAAGTTGGGTCACAAGACTGAGAACACAGTCAACCTGCCCGGGGAGGTGATTCCTGGCTCTGAGGAACAGAGGATTGGGCTTTTTGATGCCTCCCAGGGTTTCTGACCCCAAATCACTAATCTAAATCTATGGTGTGCAGCTGACATTGCATACCTGTATTGCTTGTGAGATGGAAAGAGGAGTGGAGGGTATCATCGCTCCTTTCTTGTGTCTCTTTGGCATCTTCTTGCTTTCAAGGCTGTTATCTCCAGCCTGCCCCTCACACATCCACCTGCCTGGTCCCGGTGGGAAGAATTTGAATGTGCAGGGTCAGCTGCCTTCACAGAAGGCCAAGGAGTGTGACCTGGCTTTGGAAGGTGAAATTGGAGCAGTACTCACTGCGCTCTGCTCCTGTCTGGTGCACTCCACGTGGGGACGCATTCCTTTATCTGTTTTTTGTTAAGGGCTTTTAAGAACTTTCTGTAATAAAATGTAAATGACCCTCATGGGGAAAAAACACATTAACTCATTACCAGCTCTTAACACCTGTCTGTGACTTTATTGGCACATTATTGTGTGTTTATCACTTGCCTGTCTAATGACCCAGCACAGTTTTGTTGGCAGTGCAGGTGGAGAGGTTTGAAGAACCAGGAACATTGCCAGGGGAGTTTCTTCATCTGCACAAGAAGGGAGTGTGTGCTAAACTACATTTTCCAGCTCCCACATTCTGGCTTCTGAGCGGTACCTGCAGAGTAGTGGGAGGGAGAGGAGGTGAGAAGGTAGTCAGAGAGCCAAGGAAATATGTGGTGCCCTGGTACGGGTAGGGTCCACCCCGCCACACCCCGTGCTCAAGAAAGGGAAACCGGCTTCCTGGAGCTCCTCCCACCGGCAGGGCTTTCCCAGGGGTCTCAGAGGGCTGCCTTCAGCTCCTGGTGTTTCTCCAAGTCCCACCTCTCTCTAAAGCCTGGGTAGAGGGACCCCATGGGGAAGGGGTGGCAGGGAGAGTACCTCGGGCCAGTGCCAGCCTCGCACCCCTGCGCTACTCTTACATCTGCCTGTGGATCCCGTCTCCTCTTGCACTAGGCTGTGAGCTGCTTGCGGGCAGATACTGTCTCTCACACCATTTTTTGTTTGTTTGTTTGTTTGTTTTTTAAATCTCTGGCTCTTTCTCAGGGCCTGCCCCATGGCAAGTGCTCAGTGAGTGTTCAGGAACCGAATGAGTGGGGCTGGGTGGGTGGCAGGGAAGTGAATGAACCTCCCCAGGCTGACACCGATGCTTTCCCGATTTGGACCTTCCCATCCAATTGGGCACTAAAATCCAGTGATTTCAATCTCACGATGCTGCTTCCATAAGCCCTTTCTCTCCTGGTGGGAGCCCGCAGCCGAGCTTCCTCGCTGCCAGCTCACCCTTCCTCTTCCCTCCCACACAGACACATTTTTCTAAACTACGTTTTCAGCTTATCACTGGGCTGCTCAGCATCGTTTGTTGACTTGACATCACTTCCAAGATAAATCCAAATTAATGAGCTCACTCTTCCATATCTTTCCATCTGTCCATCCTTTCAATAAATGCATCTTGAGCTTCTACTCTAGCTTCTGGGGAGAAAGTCTCAGCTAAAATTCCATGCCCAAGCCAAATGGGTTTCAACACAGCCCTGAATTTGAGCTTCATGCAGGCCAGCTCTCTGCCTGTCCCAACTGCCCACCTCTCCCAGAGAGCTAAAATCATATTTCCATTGCCGGCGTGGTGGTTCACGCCTGTAATCCTAGCACTCTGGGAGGCCGAGGCGAGAGGATCACTTGAAGTCAGGAGCTCGAGACCAGCTGAGCAAGAGCAAGATCTATCTCTACAAAAAAATAGAAAAATTAGCTGGGTGTGGTGGTGAGCACCTGTATATTCCCAGCTTCTTCTTCTTTTTTTTTTTTTTTTTTTGAGACAGAGTCTCACTTTGTTGCCCAGGCTAGAGTGAGTGCCGTGGCATCAGCCTAGCTCACAGCAACCTCAAACTCCTGGGCTCAAGCAATCCTCCTGCCTCAGCCTCCCGAGTAGCTGGGACTACAGGCATGCGCCACCATGCCCAGGTAATTTTTTCTATGTATATTAGCTGGCCAATTAATTTCTTTCTATTTATAGTAGAGACGTGGTCTCGCTCTTGCTCAGGCTGGTTTTGAACTCCTGACCTCGAGCAATCTGCCTGCCTTGGCCTACCAGAGTGCTAGGATTACAGGCTTGAGCCACCACGTCTGGCCTATTCCCAGCTTCTTGGTGCAGGAGAATCAGTTGAGCCCAGAAGTTTGAGGTTGCAGTGAGCTAATAAAAAAAAGAACTGTAAACCACAAATGAAATACCTCCTTTTTCTTATTGCAAAAGTAATACAGATTATAAAAAGTTTAGAAAATACAGACAAAAATTAAAATCTGCCATAGCTCAGGGCAGCTGGCAGAGCCATGGGTTCAGCTGAGGGAGGGGGTGGATTGAAAGCAGCAGGAGACCCCTGGGTGTGAAGGCTGCTGCCTCGGCCTGCTGCTTTATCCCACCGCTCTCCAGACAGCCAGCACGGAGCCTCAGCGTCAATGCGGCCGTAGTGGGGGTCGGGGGCAGGGTGTGGACACATTGGCACAAAGACTTTTACCTTTTTATTGAAGTTTAACATACACACAATAAAGTGCATAAACGGCGCTCGTCTGAAGTGCACAAGTCAGTGAACTTTTACATTTGTGGCTTCCCGTGAGACCACATCCCAGCTGTCTTAGTCACTTCCGGCTGCTGCAACAGAGTACCACAGACTGAGTGGCTTCAACAACAGACGTTTATTTCTCGCAGTTCCCGCAGGCTGGAAGTCTGAGATCAGGGTTCTGGTGAAGGCCTTTTTCTAGATTTACAGAGGGGGTTTTCTCACTGTATCCTCACAGGGTGGAGAGAAAGATCATGGCTCTCGTGTCTCTCCTTACCTAAGGGCACTAATCCTAGCCGTGATGGCTCCACTCGCGTGACCCAATTCCTCCCAAAGGCCCCATCTCCTGACTCTAACGTATCAGAGATTAGATTTCAACAGATGAATCCTGAAGGGACCCAGACATTCAGGGCATAACACCAGCTCAAGATGTGAACTGGTTACGGTAGCCTCGAAGTTTCCCTCCTGTTCCTGTGCAGTCCATATCCGCTCTCTGCCCCCACCACTCTGCCCCGCCCCCTATTTTCACTTGCATCAACATGTGCTTTTATGTCTGGCTTCTTGTGCTCAAAATAATGTCTTTGAGATTGATCCATGTTGTTTGTTAATAATTTGGACATTATATTTTATCAACTTTTTATTTTACCAAAAATGGAATCCTCTTGTGTACATTCTTCGTACCTGATCTTTCACTTAATAAATGGGCAACGTTTTACCATGTCTTTGGCATTCTTCTACCATAGATTCTTAAGACTTCTTGGAAGCTAAGCAGGGTCAGGCCTGGTTAGTACTTGGATGGGAGATTCTTAAGACTGTATAATGTTCTGTCTTGTGTATGTGCCATAATTTATTTGAACAGCCCCTGGCTGTTCAATATGAGGGACTATGGTGTGAATGTATGTGTCCCTCCAAAATTCCTGTGTTGGGCTCTAATACCCAATCAGATACTATTAAGAGTGGGAAGTGGTTAAATCATGAGTGCTCTGCCCTCATGAATGGGATTAGTACCCTTATAGGAGAGGTCAAAGAACATACCCTTGCCCTTTGCCCTTCCACCATGTGAGATGAACTGTTGGTTCCTTCCACTGTGCCAGGACACAGCAACAGGGTGCCGCCTTGGAAGAAGAGAGATGGCCCTCGCCAGGCCCTGGATCTCCTGGTGCCTTTATCTTGGACTTCCCAGCCTTGAGAACTATAAGAAATATATTTCTATTATTAAATACGTATAATGTACCATGTCTGTGGTATTTTGTTATAGCAGCAGGAATAGACTAAGACATGAAGTAACTTCATTTTTAGCATAACAGATTGCTGAGCTATGACATATTGAGCTCATTCGCACCGAACATTTCTGTAGTTTGATTTTTTTTTTTTGAGTACCCATGTCCACCCTTGCCCAGGCGAACGAATGCTTCGGTGTGCAATCCCATCAGTTGGCAGGAGTCTCACTACAAGTGCAATCGTCTCAAACCTTGACGCCTACCCTCAGGTAAGCCCTTCCTGACCTCCACTCGATAGTAGTTCGACGTACAGGCCCATGTGCTACCATATTGTAAATACACGTAACTTTTCAGAAGATTTCTTTCTAAGAGGACATATTCTAGGATTCTATATAATATAGTGTACAATTGAACCACTTATATTTTTTTTAGTTGTCGAAGTAATATATCTTTTTGTTTGTAAATTATTTTATTTTACCATAATTTTGATTTGTCAGGTAGAGGGTACAAGTTGGTTGAATAGGTTATATCGTATATTTGCCCCATGCTCCTCCTCCCCCTAGATTAGTTCATTTATTATTTTAGTAAGAGAATACCGGGTCTCAACTCGTTTGCCATTCCAGGCTTATTTCGCTAACTTCTGACCTTCTACAAGAACCACACTTTGAGCCGCCATCCAGGAGTGAAGACTATTGTATATTTTTTTTTTTTTTTTTTCCTTTTTTTTATGAACCATATCTTAAAAGCAGAGTTTTCTACTATTGTCATTCCATCTACTGCACCGTAGCTAAC